TACCCTGACCCCTCCCTAAACCTCTCCAGCCCAGGGGTGACACTGTTCATCCCCCAATTGCCTTTCCATATCTAATCCAACCATTTGGTCACTGAGCCTTTCTCTACCCTTTACTCTCCTGACCCTCTTCCCCTGCTCTCTCTTCATGTGGCCCAGCTCGGGATCATGCTCAATCTGGACTCTCCCTGCCTCTGGCTATGCTCTGCCTTTTATTCACAACAAAACTTCTCCTCCACCATATCTAAGAGCAGAAATGTCCTTTCTTTTTTCTTTCTTTTTTTTCATTCAAGTAGAAAATAGGGCTGCCAGACCTGACTTCCAAATGGTAGTTCTGTGGCTCTAGGAAGGTCATTCTCCTGCATAAATATATCCTCATTTATGAAGACTGAACTGAATTACTTAATCTCTTGGTTCTCTTCTTGGACTAATATTTTATTTTTGAAGATAAAATTCATTAAATGAAACTATTAATGACAATTACATATTTCAAGGGAACATCATTCTAAATGTGACAAGAAACCAACTTTCTCAGCCAATCCTTCAAGGCAGCCCATATGATCTGATATGCCCTCTGGCTTGACCTATCTATTCACAGAATAATATCTGACCTGGATTACAAGAGAGACCTTATTGCCTATCACTGTAGCTAAACATCTTCAAGAATTTAAATGTCGAACACTGCATAGCAGAGCAGAGTTAAGTGAGGGTTGGGGAAGAAAAGACAATAGCTATTGTGGGTAGAACACTGGCTTAAATATAGACTGTGGGTAGGGCATTGGTGTAAATATAGACTGATGTAGGGCACTGGTGTGAATACAGGCTGTGGGTAGGGCACTGGTGTGAATACAGGCTGTGGGTAGGGCACTGGTGTGAATACAGGCTGTGGGTAGGGCATTGGTGTGAATATACACTGTTGGGTAGGGCACTGTGTGAATATAGACTGTGGGTAGGGCATTGGTGTGAATACAGGCTGTGGGTAGGGCACTGGTGTGAATACGGACTGTGGATAGGGCATTGATGTGAATATAGATCGTGGGCAGGGCACTGGTGTGAATATAGACTGCAGTAGGGCACTAGTCTGAATATTTAGACGTCATTGCAATGCTTCTGCATATGTATGTGTTTGTGTGGGGGAGGCACATGCACATACTCACTTTAAGTTCTATGACTAAAGGACAGAGAAACAGATGAAAATAAGACAGTTCAAGGGTAACTGGAGTTTCAGGACATGGTGAGCCATTCTTTGGGTGCTGAAAACCCAACCAGTTCTTCTGCAGGAGCAGCAAATACTCTTAACCATGAGTCATTTTCACCAGCTCCCTATTTTGTTATTTTTAAAGAATAATCTTATCCAGGCATGCTGTCATAGGCCTGTACTTCCAGATACTTGGGAAACTGGGGCAGAAAGATTGACAGCTCAAAGTCTTCCTGGGCTACAGAATAAATTCAAGACCAACCTGGGAAATTTAGTAAGACCTTGTCTCAAAATAAAAAGTAAAAAGTGTCCTGAAGGTTTAGCTTAGTGGTAGAGACCTTACTTCCTTCATGTGATGCCCTAGGTTTAATTCTTAGTCCTGGAAAAGTAGTAGACAAAGAGCGGAAGAAGAGAGGAAAAGAGGATAATCTTAGAGAAGTGGCTTTATATGTGGATATCTATGAATTAATCTTACAGTGTGGTCAATCAAAACATTGATCAACACCTGTTATTTGCTTTGTACTCAGTTCTGCCCTGATCTCATCCCACCTAGGATGGTCCCTCAAGGACTATTCACCTTTCTGTGATACAAAGGAGGATAATTAACACCTGTCTTTCTTTTCTCTTTCCATTTTAATTAGATCTTTGAGAATTTTGTACAATATATTTTGAACATATTCACCTCTTCTCTCTCCACTCCTCCCAGATCCATCCTCCCTTCCCAACTGACCCAATGTATCTTTTTTACTTTTTAACCTTATGAATTTCTATTTGTGCTTCCATGTATGTTCAGATGTATGTTCATTGGAGGGTGGTCAACCCACCAGGGACTACCTTGCTTAAAGAACATTAATTAAGTCTCCTTCTCCTAACAGCTGTCAATTACCAATCACTCATGACATTGCCAGGAGAGGAACCTCATGCCCAATTCCCCCTCCATAACAGAATGTTGTCTGACTTGAGGTTACACAGATCTTGAGCACAACAGTCTCATTTGCTATAAATTAATATTACAAGTTGAACCTGGCATTGCTGTTGGGATCAAGAACCTGTGACTAGGTTATAGGCCCCAAAGCAAACTTACTGTTATTACTCTGCTAAGTGATTAAATCACCTCCTAGTGCCTGACTTTTATTGTCAACTGTTGTCAGAGAAGCTTCCTTTTGCAATTAGCATAGAAGTCCATAACTGGTCAAGGTGCAGAGAATAAGAGAATTCAGATGCTCAACACAAAGGAGATATTGATGTCATACTCCTACCTCCCAAGGCCAGGGTATTATTGCGGAAGAGGGGGCAGAAAAATCATAAGAGCCAGGGCAGTGTATAACTACGAGAACAGTTTTCCCGGACACAGAAATAAAGCAGTACATATGAATTCATCTCTGTTATTTTAATAATCACTACCACCCTGCACAAAGATCCCTCCAGTAACAAGCAAGACATATTTCTGACTCTTTAAAACTACTGAGGAAAATAATTTGTGGGCTGTACTGTGCAAAACAAAAGGGGTAAAAACAAAAAATGGGCAGATAAACAAACAGCAACAACAATAACAAAAATGGTGACACGAACCAAATCACAGACTTCCTGTATGGTTGTACCTCTCATGGTTTTAGGTTATCTTGCTAAATTAAAATTCATTACAATACAAAATTCCTCTTCATTGTTTGTAAATTCACTGTGAAAGATAAGGGGAGGAAGTCATGAACTGGTCCAAGACTGATTCTCAGAAAAAAAAAAAAAAAGATCACAGAAAGTTTCTTGTTTTCCCAGGTGATATATTTTTAATGAGTTCAAGTTGGAGCTCCACTTAATTTTTCTCCTCAGTAATGCACAGTTGGAAGATAGTGACAAAATAATTTACTGTAGGATGTCTCCAATCTACATAGTTATATAATATGTAAGTGGTTGTTCCAATGTGCTCCTGAAGAGAATGTCTCTCAACATGTAATCAAATACTATGGGCTCAGAAGAGATTTGATATGCATGCATTGAATTAAGCAGAAGTTTTGACATGGTCAGTCTAACATCCAATTATTTACTCAGAGCAATGTCAATTTCTCAGTCACTGAAAAAAGAAATAAAAATAGATTTCTTACATATAAAGTAATTTGGTGATATTCAACATGGTGGGATCTTATTATAAATTAGCTTAATAACTAAGGAAATTACTAGCTCAAAAAACATAAGAAAGATGAAAATTTTCTTTCTGATAAGGAAAGAAACATGAGAGACTATAGATTTGAAAATTTACTCTGGAACAAGCAACTCTGGTTGTTAAAGAGATAAGTGCCACTAAAATATAACATCATGCTCTGCTCTCAGAAGGTAGAAAAAATTACCTGTGAGAAAAGCCTAATTTTGTGAAAATGTACATTCATTTTAAAGGAGAGAGCCTGAACTGACAATCCTGCTAAAACCCGCTAGGAAGGTGTTTTCCCATGTTCAGTCACCAGGGCAACAGAGGCCCTAAGAGCTATGCCAGGAAGGGTCAAACCACATCTTAGGCTGGAGCATGTTTCTTCAAGATATTAAAATGCAAATCATGGAATCTCACAACAAGTTTACAGAAAATTACTTAAACTAGACAATGAGTCATAAGGTCAGATTCCCTCTGAGTAGGTCTTAGAAGATTATTGCCTAAGCTATAAAGGTGAAACCTGTGTTGCAATAGAGAACCAGGATGTTGGAAATTCCAGAGCTATGGTTCATCCACCAAGGAAAGATGCAGACACAGATTGCAGCTCACCCAACAGAATGAGATAGAAGGCAGGAGTAGAGAGGCAGAGATTCTCAAGGCCACTGCAGCAGAGATGATTCTATCTTGAGCACTAGATGCCAGACATTGAACTATAGAATTGTACCTATAGACTTTTGGTCTTCTTTTGTCCAGTCTTTCCTTGATGTTCTTATGATATCTCTCTTTTAGAATGGGAAATCACTAGAACTTGCGGAGGCCAAGAAATGTGGGCTTGGTTTTACCTTGTCTGATGGTCAGAGAGTTTGAAAGTCGTTCAAATGATCGACAAGTATAGCCAACTCAGGATGAGATGGCTTGGCCCTTTTAATGTTAAAAAAGCTCATTCAGATAAGTCCCTGACGTTCTGACAGGTGGTCAGGATACGCAAATCTACTTCTGTTTCTTCTTTTAAAACTATGAGGTCACCAGGGGAGGGGTGACCTTCAGGATACATGATCTAGAACAGATTCACTACCTGGACACAGAATGCTGATGATTTGATGCCTCAGAATAATAAAGCAATTGACTATGTGAGTTATCCTTTTTAACATGTTAATAAAGTTTTCTGTTATCTTCTTTCACCCTCTCCCATTTATATTGGGTATAAAAACGGTGGAAAAGTAAATACTGGTGATTTCACTTATCACTGGAATGTCCTTTCGGTATTATTCTATGGCTTCTATCTTATTAATTTTTAATGTGTCTCCATATTCTTTACTTATATTTCTAAATTCCCATACCCCTACCTTGGCAAGAGGTATTTTTGTTGAGGCCAGTCCTCAACAGGAAGTATATAACTTTGTTTGTTTGGGGGCTTGGGGGGTTTTATCTTATGTTTTTAAATAGAGTGTCATATTTAAAAAATGGGCTGAAGGGCCAGGTGGGGTAGCACACACCTTTAACTCCTGCACTTGGGAGGCAGAAGCACATGCATCTCTATAAGTTCTAGGCCATCCTGGTCAACAGAGTGAGTTGTAGGACAGCCGAAGTTACATAAAGAAACCCTGTCTCAAAATAAATGAATAAATAAATAAGAAAAAAAAACAAATAAAAAGTCAGAATATTTGAGTGTACTCAGAGCAGGGAACCTAGAGAATGGCTTCCCTCTTTCCAATACACCCAAGAAGAATATGAGGCCATTGTAACGAGAGGCTCAGCACTGCATAATCTCTGTGAGTAGATCCTCTACATGTGAAAAGAAAGAGGGGGAGAGGGAGAAACAGAAGGAGGAAGGAAGGAGGGAGAAAGGGAAAGAGAAAAAAGAAAGAGAGAGAGGTAAAAAAAAGAAAGGAGGAAAGGAAGGAAGGATGGAAGGGAGGAAGGAAGAAAGGAAGGAAGGATGGAAGGGAGGAAGGAAGAAAGGAAGGAAGGAAGGAAGGAAGGAAGGAAGGAAGGAAGGAAGGAAGGAAGGAAGAGCTTGAATGTTAGAAAGTCTTTGTACTTTTGGGTTTTGAAAACTAGAATTGTGAAGATTTAGGGTACACTTAATGCAATTAATTCAATGCAACTTGCATTGTGAGACAGCAGTGAGTCTTTGAGGATCATTGGTAGAATGCTATGACTTACAGGTGATAGGTTTGGGTTGACCAGAAGTAGACTTGTGATGGATAATCTTCATTATCAGCTTAACTGGATTTGGAATCACTAAGGCGACATACCTTTCATGTGTATCTGAAGGTGTTACCCAAGAGGTTGAACTGAAGGGGGAAAACCCACTCTGATTGTCGGTCACATTCCCATAAGGTGAATTCCAGAATGAACAAAAGGAGAAAAATATTTAGCAGTTTTCATCTCTGTTTGCAATTTAAATAGCCCTGCAGGTGCAATGTGAATGGTCCTACTGTTCCCTCTCTGATGAACTTTGTTTTCTAAAACTATGAGCCAAAAATAAGTATCTCTTTGTTTAAGTTGTTTTTGTTGGGCATCTTGTTATAGCAATGAGAAAAGAAATATAAACTGCCATAAGGATATGTGTTTTCACTGACATGATGGTGAGACAAGGGGTTTTGCAGAATACCACCACTTCTTTGCTTCAAGAAAACCATGATGATGACTTTTCAGCTAGAGAAAACAATCCTGCTACAGTGCTTTCAATCTAGATATCCTAACATATGTGTGGACTGACTTGAAACTTTCTTTCACATGTTCACTCCCTCTACCTGTGGTTTTCATTTGTACAATAACTTTTTATTGAATACCTGACATTGCATTTGTGGTTGTAATGGTAATTTTGTTTAGTATGAGAGTTTTGTTATTATTATTTGTTACCAATTTCCTGGATGCTGTATGTATAGGTACATGGTTTTGTTTTATTTTGTTTCTTGTATTATATTTGAATTTTGTTCTGAAACTCAGGTCATTTTATATAAAGTATGTAACCCTTTTGGAGATTGTTTTAAGCATTTTTTCAGGTACAACTTGGGCAGTATTTCATCTAGATCCATTGCGTGGTATGGTTAAAGCAAATCCCTGTGTTGTGAAGTTTCCTACAGTGATGGGAAGGGAAATAATTTCCAGACCTGTCTATAAATACCCCAATGATTATATCTCTAATTCTCCTGAACGAGTGTTTTTTCAGACCATTTCCTCCTGAATGTGTTACAACCAATGTTCAACATTGGTGAGTGGGATCTTTGTTTCTCTCCAGAGTTTTTCTGTGGCATTCTCTCCACATTGACCTCTTTGTGCATGGCACTGGCAAGATCTCACATGTGCTCACGTACACACACGCACACACACAGAGAGAGAGAGAGAGAGAGAGAGAGAGAGAGAGAGAGAGAGAGAAAGGGAGAGAGACAGAGACAGAGAGAGACAGAGAGACAGAGAGAGAGGGAGAGAGGTGGGAGAGAGAGAGAGAGAGATGGGAAATTACCCCACTTGTTTCCCATGTCAGAGGGATCACTGTTCTTCACTGAATAATCCTTAATGTCTTGATAACCATTCACTTGGTGGAAGAATAATGTTTCAGTTGTTTTAGATCAGGAGATAAAGTTAGTTTCTATTATTTTTCTCAAAGTACAAGTCTATATTCTTTTTTAAATAAATACACATATATGCACATATCATACATATATTCATATATGTTTATTATATATTATGTTTATACGTTTATTATATATAGAATTGCAATATTTGTTATTTGTAATATAAGTAGAAAAATACCTAGAACACAGTATTCTTTCAGGAAATTTCACATTGCTTAAGACAGATCATAATTTTCTTTAACAGGTCCTGCAGTAACCATGGTAGAGTTTGGGGAGCATTTTTATTATATTCCATGTATTGTTTTCTTTAACAGCTGTCTTTAACATAAAAATTATTAGTTATATTTCTGAGCTATACAAAAGCATATCTTAGGACAACACATTTAGCCCATGGTTTTGTGGTAGAATAAGGTAGTCTTGGAATAAACAACCCAGTGTCTTAGCTTGCTAACATAGATTTTTCACCATAGTCAAAATGCATGTTCTTCATAGGCATCTGTCTTTACCATCCAGTGGTGATTCAAGGACACAAGTTACTCCTCAACCCATATTCTATATTCTCATACAAAGCTTCTTCTAAGATCCAAGATTATCATCATGATGGAAAGGGTATGGACAATTTCATATGGGAGGTATATCTGGGTAATTCCTCAAGGGATACATTACTCCTAACCATCTTGGTTTAGTGCACATTGTATCAGTACATGTAACTGCAGAAGTTGAGAGTCCTAGTCTTGCTATGTGTTCAAGAGAAGAGGAAGTGAACTCAGGGAATGCCCAGTGAAGTCATGCAGTGACTATCTGTGTGTATCTCCTTTGCCAAGACTTCCTTAACTCTTGTTCCTTGCATAAGTTTGAGATGATGAATTTTGAGAATTCCTTTGGTAATTGTACAAATTCTCTCTTCCTCCTCTACAGTTCTCAACTCCTTAACATGGATCATCCCTGTGTAAAGAAACATGACTATACAATCTGAAGACCCATCCCACTTCCATCCAAGATATGACTCTCTAGGCCCATTCATTTCACCAATGACAAGATTTAATTGACAATTCAAGATTTTTAGACAAGTGACAACAGCTTACTTGTATAGTCCCACCATTCAGAGGTTAAGTGAGACAATAGGATTGTATGCACAGTGAACAATTTAGTGAGAACTTGTATCAAAACTAGAAAATAAAAAAGATCAAAACTCCTTGCCATAGTGATTTTCCCAAGCTGTCTTGTTGATTTTTCCTAAAACACTGAAGTAGCACCTCATTTGTCTGTACTTGGCAGGAGGATTTGTTCCTCATCATTCTACCAGTCTCTTATTAAGGGAGGGGATCCCTGCAGGTGTCATAGCAGACAGGGAAATGGTCTGATGTTAGGTGGTTTATTGTCAGCATTTTAAATACAGTATAATTTGAGAAGTAATACAACCCCTAGTGCATAAGGAAGCATAATTACATCAACACTCAACTCAGGGTATTTGTCGTTTCTTCCAAGAAGATGAGTTCTACAGATAGGCTACATGGATGAGCTTAAGAGCCTAGGAAAGGAGCTGGCTTGGTCTTCATAATACAGGTAGTATAAAGGTCATTTGGGCTATTAGTTATCTCCAGTCATACTTGTGGGAGCTTGGGGAAAGCCCCTGGCTATACAGGTAATGTAAGTGTCATTTAGACACTTAATGATTAAGAATCTCTTAAGGATAATTAGACATCGACCATCTCCAATCCTAGTTGTAAAAGTTTGATATAGCCTGGACCAACAGATAATGCAGATCACCAGGCTATTAACCACCTTCAATTCCCAGCCTTCTGAAAAAGTAGGTTATATGTTGTGGTAATTTGAACGTAATTGGTCCCCATAAACCCAGAGGAGGTGACATTATTAAGAGGTATGACTTTGTTGGAGTAGGTGTGGCCTTTTTGGAGGAAGTGTGTCACTGTGGGGATGGGCTTTGAGGTCTCCTTTGCTCAAGTTTCACTCAGTGTGACACTCAGACTACTTCCTGCTGCCTATCATGATATAGCTTGGCTACTTCTCCAGTACCATGTCTGCCTGCATGCCACCATGTTGCACTATGATGATAATGGACTAAACCTCTGAAACTGTGAGTCACCACAATTAAATATTTTCCTTTATAAGAGTTGCAATTATCATGGAATCTCTTCACAGCAATAGGAACCATAAGTAAATCCTTCCCTTTGAAAGGACGATCCTACGTGCTTAACACTCTTGGCTTCTCTGGAGATCTTCAGGACCAAGGACTCTCATGCTCTCACCATCATATAATATTCTCAGCTCCACTCCACATGTTCTTAATTGGTCTTCCAAATTATCCCTGATTCTTTTTCAACATACAGATACATGAATTTTAAAATTACTAAACAAATAAATATTTAAATTAAACATTTATAGAATTTTTAAAAGAGTAGTTATAATTACCATTCTGTTTATTAATTTTATTTTTAATAAACTTTTGGGGTTCTTTTTCTTGATGCAGCAGATAATGTTGATTCAGCCTCAGTCCCTAACATGCTTACTATCGAAGTTGATCTAAACATTACTCTAATTTATGACAACTTGTACCTCATTCCCTAGTCACCAGTCTGTTCAGTTCAGTTGTAGAACTCAGTCTGAGGAGTTCATTTTAGTGACCCTAGATGAAAAGAATTTCAGGATGAGTCTCAGTATGCAAATAAGTTAGGGCTTGCTTAAAAAAATAATATGTGATTTGCTTAAAATAAAAGATAATATAATTGTATATTTAAATAAATGGAAAGAAAGGGAGAGAAATAGATGTTGAGTGAAAAGAGAAAAGGGATGAAAGGTAAAAAACAGAAGGTGGGAGATAATAGAGTGTTTAAAAGGGGAAGGAGAGAAGTGTAGAAAGTGTAGAAAGAGGTGTAGGAGAGTAGTGAGAGACTAAGAGACTTATATTTTGGTCAGGAGGGCTGGAGAGATAGTTTAGGGGTTAAGTGTGCTTATGCTACTGTGGCATGTCCTGAGTTCAGTTCCCAGCACCTACACTGATTACCCCACAACTACCTGCAACTCTACCTCCAAGAGATCTGACAGCTTCCTCTGGCCATGCATAAACCTACATACACACACACACACACACACACACACACACACACACACACACATATATATATATATATATAGAGAGAGAGAGAGAGAGAGAGAGAGAGAGAGACTTTTCTTTCTTTTTAAAGGGA